AAGCTTGCAATTGGATGTGACGTAGGAGGGCTAACTGGCGCTAAAAACAATCGCACGTATTTATTTCTTCTCAGTCGTTTAAATAATCCGGCATTACGCTCAATCTATCTCCGCTTATTGCCCGGGCGGAAGATTAGTCTCGGCCGGAGCCGTGAACGACTTTATCGTCGTGCGAGCACAAGTCGTAAAGCACATCGGAGAGTCGAGGCGCTTTCTACGCGTGAGACTCGCCGGGCGGCGTGCTCGAGTTCGAGTTAGGCGAATCGGTTTAATATCTGCGCATTAGTCTGAACTCCGTGAAGAAGAGGCGCGCGCGAGAGCGATCGCCCCACGAGCAGACAACGTACGTACGTACACTCTCCGGTCTGCATAGAATCGTAAATCACATCACGTGTAAATACGCCCGGGATGTCGCAATTTACGCCGCTCTCTGTCTGACCTCGTCGCCGTTCGCTCTCCGTCTAATTTAACGAGGGTATCCTTAGCGGCCTATCTCACGCTGATATATCGCGCTGTTTATACTGGGTGAGTCGTAAAAAACGATCAAACGATTTTCAGCTGACGAAAGTTCGATCTGAACATCTCTTGCGCGCGCACGTCTGTTTCTGATTATACCAAATAATTTATACCTGCAAATGACAAATTCAGATGTAGTTTAAATAAATTATTACCTGAACATCTCAGGCAATCGAAACTTTCCCGGATACAAGTGGAAACACATCCTCGTCGAAAAAGAATCGGCTATAAAAGTTTACAAGTCGTAAAACCGACTCTCGATCTTAATTGCTCTTTTTTTATTGTTCTTCCTGAAATAAGTTACGACTTTCGTCGAAAAAAAAACCAATTTTTTGTCCCGATTATCGGTTAATCTTCGGAGACGAAATTCTTGTTAATATACAGGTGCAATATCGCACTCTTTCTTAACAATGTGCTATTTTTTTTTGTCATCTTCGAAAGTTCAGTCTGGTTTTTTCAACGTATAATCAAATTAATTCAAAGTCCGCGCTTTGACGTGAAAACTTTCGCGCGAGAAAAACATCATCAGTTTCAAGTGCGTCGATTGAGATAAGACGTTCTTGAAGTTTAGCGCAAACTTCGCGAAGCACACTCTGTGTATAAACTTCTCCGGCTGTCTCTCTCGGAGGATTCTATTACACGCTCCGCGCTCACCTGCTGCGAGCAGCGCGCGCGCCACGCGGGGAGCTACCTTATAAATCTATGATTCCCGGCGTAAATCGAGCCCGGGCGATTTCTCCCGACGTGGTAACGTTTTCCGATAATTTATGCCGAGTACCGCTTGATCGAGTCGACGGATTGAGTCAACGAACAGTCCGTGCGCAACAAGCTCGATCGGTTATATACACGCCGATCGCGCGTCGACTCGATTTAATCACGTACGCGACAGCGAATTAGAACGAGATCGCGGGATTTATCGTTGCCAATTCGCTTCCGCGCGCGGAATTGCGTCGTTCGTGATATCGACGGCGCCGACGGTGAGAGGAACACGCGGGATCGCAAAGACCGCGCCGCTCGCGAACTCGTTAAACGCTCCCTTTTCCCCCTCGAGAGACTCGACTCTCGAACTTGCTTGAACTTCGGTCGCGGTCGTTTGTCGTATATATATATATATATATACACACGCGCGCTTCTTTGCCCGGCGGGCGCAAACGTTGCATCTCCTGCTCGCTTCCTCTTCCTGCTCCGACCCGCCTCTTTTAGGCGATCGCGGCGGCGGCGGCGGCGGCGCAACTTCAACTAGTTAATCGGCGACAAAGCAGCGGCTTCGCCAACTACGGGATTACAGTTAGATACTCTCGGTGATCGCTCCAGCTGGGAATCCGTGGGAAGAGGACGGGTAACCGCGATATGAAAGGAGAGGGATGTAACGAGGGAGAGTCTCGAGCGAGTGTGTTTAAGGAGAACACACGGAGAATCGTTGACGAGGAAGCGGAATGTGTTCGAATGACAAAATCGACTTCACGACAGTATATCGTTTGCAATGTCGAACATATGTTTATATGAAAATTTAATCTCGGTCTTTGCTTATAAAAATTTTGCACTAAGAGTCTTTCTCTCTCTTTAAATGCATTAAAATAACGCTTCTACAAAATATTTGAAGCAGCTGAACTTTCTCCAGTTTAAGCGTACAAATTTGTTCCCGATCTTCATATTTAGTCACGCGACTGACGAGTACCGTGGCCGTACCGTTATTTCACAGGAGCAAAGTGGGGTAGAGATACATTATGCATGTAAAATCCTAGACGTTCTGCGCGGTTTCTCCGAATAGTTCGCACAATAGGTGATTACCTAAAAGACAGCGTTTACATTTCCCGAACGGACAGTGCCGAGCTTCCGCCCGGTGATTGTCAACGTACACTTTCTCGCAAATCCCTACGTTCTTGTCAGCATTACGGAGTAAGGAATCGCAACGCAAACACATGCATGTAGACGTTATTAAGGTGCGGAATCGGAGTGAGAACGTGGAACGGTCGGAAAATCTCTCCCGAGATTGCTCGCGACGATAGTCGCGGAAATTCAACTGCAACGCAGTTCCGACGACATCCTTTATTTTAGTCACGTGACTTTACTCTAGTCACGTATTTTTATTAACAAAATATTATTTTGTTTTATTAACTTTTTTGTGAGAAGAAAAATTCTGTTGAACTAGATTGTTAAAACATCGCGTTTCTAACGATTCTCCTTGGAGTAAACCGTACAAATTCGCCTGTAGCCGCACGGAAGAACGATTTATCTCGGTCGTTACCTCCGGATCACGTTGTCCCGCAAAAAGCGCCGCGTGCCTACACTTTACGGTAATTAAAACAGACAAGTGACGGCGCACGTTGTGTTTCTTGCCGTTTATTTCTCCCGTTCGACGCACGCCGGGGAGACCATTGGCTCGTTGCCCATCGCCTCTTCCTGTCCGTGTACCAGTCGGGCTAATCGGCGACAAAGCGGCAGCTTACGTAGCCAACTACGGTGTACAGTTAGACATCCATGGATCCGGCCGGCGAGCCACACGAAGAGACGCAACGGAAGAAAAGACGAGGGAGAAGATTGGAGGAAGCGCAAAAGCTGAGATAGTTAACCGGGAAGTAGAGAGAAAAAGAGACTTTAAACCAGACGCTTCTTTTAGAAGAAAAGGACATGTATCTTTTGGCTTATCGTGTAAGAAAAGTATCGACCAGTAGAAAGAAATTCCAACACGAGTACTCCCGTTCAGTAGTTTCCACACGAACTACCTGAATCGATTCTCACGATTGTGTGTGTGTGTGTGTGTATGTGTGAGATGCGGAAAGCACGGAAGCATTTATCGAAACACACACGGAAGGGAGAAAGGGACCGTTGCGGCCCTTCGGCGAGAGAATCCGAACAAATGGATGAACGCACGAAGAGAAGAGGAAGAACACACGGAGGCGTGTGAACCAGCGCGTAGTTCATGTTCGTGTAAGTGGATAGTTAACGTTAATGTCGGTGAGCGCACGCGGAGGGGTTCTTTCTCTCTCCTTAATCGAGACACAAAAGAGCGCTCGGCGCATATATATCCCACACTCGGTTGCAATTAAAACGGGCCGGGGGAGCGCGCTTTTCCCTTTCACCGCGTTGCAGGACTCTCCGTCTCTCTCGCGGGAGGAACTGTTACATGAACCGACGTCGATATCGCCGGGCGCGCCGAAAAAATGTGCGACTTCACTTCGATCTCGAGAAGTCGAGGCGATCGACTGATTTCCCCGTTTCGCCGTATCGGAGAGATATTACGTATCACTGCATTTAATCCTTCTCTCTTTCTCTCGATATAGATTGATATCGCCTTGAGTTTTGTTATTACGAGATAATGACGCGATAACCATACCAGTTAAAATCGAATGTCCCGACGGTATATCAGACAGCAACAAATATATATGATATCTCGCAATCTATCGCCGCGCACTTGAAATTCAAGCGTCGTTTATCTCGTCCCACGTTAAGTGTCCACGTATTGTTCAGATTTTCGACTTTGTATTTAATCTTTAACCTTATCAGGAAACATCTGCCAGGTCTTACGTTTAAAAAAACAAAAGCACAAAGAGGAGACGATAGTTGAGAGTGTATTTTCCACGTAAACTTGAGGAAGAGATCACAAAGCGTGTGCGTTTCGCGATGTGCGTATGCTCGCGGTTTAATCACCGTTCAGGCTCCTTTCAGGTATAGGTATCGTCCTGCCTCTTCTTGGCGCGCGCTAATCGACGACAGAGAGCAACAACTGCGCCAACTACGGGAATACAGTTAGACATTCGCGGATCCGGCCAGCTGAGCCTCTCTCGCGGAAAGGGAGAGAAAGGGACCAGGTGGGACGCGGAGGGTGCGAGGAAGAGAGCGGCCGAGAGAGAATGGCGCGGAATCGTGGTGCAGAGAGAAGGGAAGGGAAAGAAGAAAACGGAGGCTCTCCCGCGCCGGGGAAGCATCTTCTCAGCGAGGACCTCGCCGGAGTACGTAAATAGATGCACAGGGAACGGGCAAAAGACGCGGGGGCGTGTGAACCGAGCTTTAAGAGCCCTACGTGGCGGGTGGGTGTGTCCCGGGGCTTCCGCATACTCCTCCGCGGTCACCGTGTGTTGTTATCTTCCGTAACAAGTCGCGTGTGGCGTAAGCGCACGTTTTCCTTGGCCCGTTGCGTGTCTCTATGTGGAGCATTTCAGCGCGAGAGACAAAGGGAACATCGCGCGCGTTACAAGTGTTTAAAAACGGAAAGCTACGAGGACGTGTGTTGCTGTTGTTGCGTTCCTTAAACGGGATCGTCTTTCCAGTCAGTAAACTAGCAACGCGCAGTCAAACGTCGGAAAGTTTTGCAATCAAAATTATATAAGTTTTAGATTTTTTGCGTTTTATGTCTAATTTGTAACGAAACTCATTTGCTCTCTTCGACAACTGCGGTTAACTTTTATCTCAACCTTTTTTCCTCAAAAATTTATACACATTTAATTGTTTATATTTCAAAAAGTTGCGTTTTTGCGACTTACCAGGAAGCGACAGGCCACATGTGAGAACTTGTTCCGGCAAGTCGTGGATCGTCCTCGGTGACGCTACCTCGTCGACTCGCCGTTTGGTTCCTGAAACGAGAATAGAAACGAGATCTTGTTATTTCCGTGATAAAAAAGATCGCATTTGCGTTTCTATTAGACAACCAAAGCGCATCCAGCGGAAATCGGGTAATTCGACCTACTATTGTGTATCGCGTAAACTTCGATACAACGCGACAACTGAACGGATCTGAGTAAAATACATCGGGGGATTCGTCCTGATTTATTAATCAGACTATCGGAAAAATCTTTTTTTACTTATTATAATAAACCGACAACACAGTACCGGCTGACAAAATTTATTTTTGTCGAGTAATTAATTATTCGCCTTCAGTGTATTAACGTCGAAGTCGTAACGTTCGATACTCACGTCCTTCTCTTATATGGTTAGAGAAATATGCGCGCGTCATGCTGCGCTATTAAAATAAAAACATACATCTCCACGGTGAATAATGCCAACTTGCTTCATGAACCATTAAATACGTTTCTACGATTAATATCCGCTTATGCGAGATACAAAGATCGATCGAAGCGCGCGCGCGCGCGCTCTCTCGCTACCGAAACGAGGCTCGTTTATCGATTAATCGAGATGGAAGCGTGGCTCGACGAGCGAGCGTGTATAAGTACGTGACGCACGTGCGTGCACGCGGTCTCGCACGTGCGTCACGCATGCAGAAACGCATCTCGGACTGTGTGCGCCTCCGCGCGCGCGCGAGCGAGCTTGACCTTCGGTTGAAAGGCTCCCGTCTAATTCCACCTTTTAACCCTCGTCACCTTCTGTCGGAGACTGGCGAAGGTGAACGGCGGCAAAACGCGCGCGAGCGAACGAGCGCGTGTATTCTTCTCTCTTCTCTAGCGAGCGAGCGCATACATCACGATGCACATCTCTCCTCGCGCGCTCGGCTATACTTTCTACGTACGAGAGCCAACATGACGAATAATATGTATCTCACGTCGGTCTTTTTTGAACAGTCTCACTACCGCGAGTAGCCGCGGCGCCGCGAATAGCGCACGTCTCATTCATGACGGCGCAGAAATAATCGAAAGTAAGCGAGCGGCGTCCCGTCAAAGCGCAATCACTTATGTAGAACTTGTGCAGCGCAAGATCTCTCGCGGGAAATGTAATCAAGCGTAAATCAGCACGTCGGTAAGTCGTTTCTCCGTTTCTACTCTTCCTTGTCTTTCTCTCTCTCTCTCTCTCTCTGTCTCCCTATCTCACCGGAGATCGGCGTCGTAATCGTGACTTCAATGTGACTAACGCTGATTACTACCGGCGCGTTATTAACACGAGCAGCGTGGCGCGGCTCCGCGAAAACGTCGCGCAAAAAGATTCATCATTTACACCCGTACGGATACTTAGCGGCGAAAACCGGTTACTTACGGGAAGTTTTTCCGCCAAAGAGATCACAAAACGGACAACATATTGGGAGATATAGCGCGCTCGTGCGCGCTTTCCGCCAGCTAATCGCCGGCCACGCGACGCTCCGTGCGTATCCAATTAGCGGACGCTATTCTCGCACGCGCGGACGCTTATTAAGCGATTACAAGCGACGTTTCATCCAAGACGCTAATTGCGGGTTCGCGACTTTATCGTTTACGTCCTCGCTCTTGTTAAGTAAATTGATCCGCCGCGAAATCGGAACGCGCGATTGCGCGCGCGTCGTCCACGATCTTGCCCGCGTCGACTTCACGTAAAGGCCGCGTGCACGCGCGCGCGTTTCACGCTATTAAACGCGTGCGAAGATATAATCAATTAGCGCGCACCGGCGTGCACGCGCGAGAATCGCCGTGTTCGGTGCTCAATGGTGTTGGTTTCCCGCAAATGCCACGCAAAGAAACACTATGCACATGGACCGGTCCTGGCAAATAAGCGCGCGGATAAAAGTAAATTGAGTCACACGACTCAATTTTGCGATCTGTGATCGCCGAAAACTATTTTGTGATAAGGTATGAAGAAACTTGGTTATAAATTCCACCGAACAATTAATTAAAATATAATTGTTACTTGCAATTGTGTGTGTACGTGAGATTTTATCTTCGAAGTAAATTAAAATATAAAAACACCAGAGTCCGAAAGAAAACTATTTGCGCGAGGCAAATGAACAATTCCAATCAACTCCCATGACGTTATATTACCTACTCGAGCGTATCGCTCGACAGTTATCGCAGAATCCACAATGACTGTGTGTGTCTATCTCTTCGTACGTCTATCTATACCGGAATTACACTACCGAAGGCTGGTATTCAATCAGTCAACAATCGATAACCGGTATCTACCGTCCCGTCAAAGTTCTCCGCGTATAAACCGACGACGGTTCCTTGGTACGCTATCACGCGCGCGTGGAATCGGAAGTTCGTTCTTAGCAAAGCGACGATGACACGGCGAGTGACGCGCGACCCAGTTTCGTTTGCCAGGTGCATTCACACGAATGCATTCGCGCATGCACAGACCTTTCGTGTGTATGCGCCAACTCGAAGGAATATAACTTCGCAGATGTGGTTTGCGGTACGTCGACGGCCGTAGAATTTTGCATGCAAATTTTCACGCTCGAACTCATTACGCGGAGGAATAGCGAGATCCGGGAGGAGAAGAAGGAAGAGAAGGAGGAGGAGGAGTTAATTATGCGATAATGACGTCGACCGGGGCGCGTGCGTTTCGCGGGGAACAATAAGCCTTAATGCATCGCAGCGGCATCGAAAAACCTGCGAGAAAACGCCGCTGTCCGCGGCGCAGCGAAAACAAAAGAAACAGGTCGAAAGATGAACGGGTCGTAAAAATGACGCGATTATCGGTGATTTATCGATGCCAGTTCCGCGAAGAACTCGTCGATCATTCCGAACGGACCGATATGAGAACGGAACTTTTCTCTGCTCTCTTTCTTCGTCCTATCGTCTTCTTCTGCAGAAGATTGGAAATGGAAAATTATATCAAATGCGCTCGTAAATCTTCATGATTCTAATCGGCTGATATATTATAATTAACGCTTTTTCGATACAATGGAATAATGTATAATCAGTGTCACGAGTTACGCAGATCTACGGCAATATTCGTCTAATCACTGTACTTATCACATTAATTAGAAAAAAAATTAGTAAAGTTAGATAATTTACTTATGGAATAAAATACAAAATAAATAGAAAATAAAAGTTCATGCTTTGTTATTTTAATTTTTTGTAAAGTTATAATCTAAGTGTTCGAAGAGTGATCGATATCGTCAATTAATTTCCCGTTAATTTTGTCGTTAATTGAGCAAGTCGAATTATCGTAATACCGATAAAAAAATTAAAAAAAAAACTGTACGCGCTATCTAGCCAATAATTATGATTAATATAGCCCGCGCAGCTGTTTATAAAACATCTCGCTCCCCTATATTTCCCCCCGGTGCTGTAACGGAAGTCTGCGTCGTTTTATTTCACGGGATGCGCGATAGGAACTTCCGTTAGGGAAATTAGTGCACGTGCAATTAGTACTTAATCAATATATTTTATCGATAGAGCCATAAATCATCCTCTCGTTCATGATTGCTTCATCATGCTAATGCGTCTGTACACAACCTCCGTACAACATCACGAAAAGTGGAAACGCGCAACACACGAGGTGCAATTAGTCAGTATGTTTCCCTCGATTTTCCCGCGTCACTCTTTCGCCTCTGTATCATTATGTTTATTTTCATCGCGGTTGATGTCGACGTGACGGCGCATTGCGGCTCCTAATAATTACGAATGACGCTATAGTCGCCGATAATAATTATTATAATTACGACAAATACACGTTTCCAAGTATAATGAGCAGGACGCGATTATACAGCCGATAAATCGGTGGACATTTATTTATGCAAATTGCGTTTAGCTACCGCTCAAGAGCTGCTTCGGAACTGAAGAAATGTCTCGAAAATCGTTGAAAACACAGGCACTCCCGAAATCATTGAGCTCATCACATCGAACCACCGATCGATCGATATAATTCCGAGCGTCGTTCGTAATTGTCCGTCATCACGCGAGACGAGAAAATCGACGATCGTCTTCGATTTGCAGATAATGCGCTCGGCTTCTTCGCTCGCTCGCTCGCGAACGAGGCGAGCGCACCGGAAAGTGCACCGGCGAAGAAACGATCGGGAGACACGCGACCCGTACGTATTAGAGTCATAATTTAGAGTAAACAAATTTATACGAACGTTCGAGAATCTCGAACGTGCGGAACTTCGCGGAAGGGGAAACACGCGGCGGCATCACGCGAGAGAAAGAGAGAGAGAGACTATATCGCGCAGTAAATGTCCGAGTGATTTGCGATAGAAAATCGCAATTACCTCTGGTGTAGTAAAAGGCGGCTTTACAAGAGATTACACGCTGGTGTACGCGTGAATCGAGCCCGAAAGTAAAAACTCTCGTGTTATACGATTTCCGTTCACCTTCATCTCGCGCTCCGGTAACAGCAGAAGCCAATTACATTACGTCGTATCCTTTTTCAGACCGCGGACTTTTAAACGCGTTTGTTCTTCTCCCTCTCTTTTTCTCTCTCTGTTCGTAACATATTCCTTGATTTTAAACAAACTTGAGTAATAATAATCGCGCTAGGCGGTTTATTTATAGGGATTGCATAACTCTCGTAGCTAATTCTCGATTAATAATTCAGGATGAATGTGTACCATCTCGTTGAGAGAGAAAGAAAAAAGCGACGAAACGAGATAGGCGGAACAGGAACTTAAAGCGCACCGGCATCAGGCATCTTTTAATTGGAGTAAGTAAACGTTGAATGGACACGTGGATGGATGTGGATAATCGCGTATATTATTAAACGGCACGCGGGGAAAAGATCGTCGAGTTAAGTGGTATCGGCGAGAAATAATTTTCTCATCACCGTCTCCGTGGCGGCACGTTTCATAATTCACTTAAGCGAACGAGCGCGTCGTGCGAGCATCGGCTTCCTTCTCCGCGTGGGATCATTGACACAACGAATTGAATGGACGACGACGGGGAAGAAAGAAGGGAAAGAGAAAGAGAGAGATAACAGGGGCGGAAAACGGAGGGGG